GAAAACATACACCAATCAGGCATAACATTATGACCACCTCCTTGTTTCTATGCTCATTGTCCATTTTATCAGCTCCACTTACTATATAGGTGCACTTTGTAGTTCTACAGTTACAGACTGTAGTCCATCTGTTTCTCTGCATACTTTGTTAGCCCCCTTTTACCCTGTTCTTCAGTGGTCAGAACCCCCATGAACCCTCACAGAGCAGGTACTTTTTGGGTGTTGGATCATTCTCAGCACTGCGGTAACAGTGATGTGGTGGTGGTATGTTAGTGTGTGTTGTGCTTGTATGAGTGGATCAGACACAGCAGTGCTGCTGGAGTTTTTAAACACTGTGTCCACTCACTCTCCACTCTATTAGACACTCCTACCTTGTCAGTCCACCTTGTTGATGTAAAGTCAGAGACGATAGCTCATCTGCTGCTGCACAGTTTGTGTTGGTCATCCTCTAGTCCTTCATCAGTGGTCACAGGATGCTGCCCACAGGACGCTGTTGACTGGATATTTTTGGTTGGTGGACTATTCTCAGTCCAGCAGTGACACTGAGGTGTTTAAAAAACTCCAGCAGCACTGCTGTGTCTGATCTACTCAGACCAGCGCAACACACACTAACACACCACCACCACATCAATGTTACCGCAGCGCTGAGAATGATCCACCGCCCAAATAGTACCTGCTCTGTGAGGGTCCATGGGGGTCCTGACCACTGAAGAACAGGGTAAAAGGGGGCTAACAAAGTATGCAGAGAAACAGATGGACTACAGTCTGTAACTGTAGAACTACAAAGTGCCCCTATATAGTAAGTGGAGCTGATAAAATGGACAATGAGCATAGAAACAAGGAGGTGGTCATAATGTTATGCCTGATCGGTGTATAATCATATTTCCCACCTCTAGTCTGTGCTACAGAGCTTTTGGAAAAGTTCACCGTACACACTCACAAGTGCATTATTGCCCTTTTGTAAAGGCTTGTTGTTGGCAACAAGCATAAATCTCTTCAAGTACACATAGTGCCCAGTATACCTACATTAGCAGTGTTTTATTGTAAAGAGAGAAAGCACAAACAGCAGCACAGTGGCAGATCTATTATTTACATATTATCAGTGTCCACATGAAAAATGAGCTCCAGAGTTGCCCTTTGATTCTCACAAGTGTATTTCATCCGGAGCTTTCTTCAATTACTGAGGCAACAATTGTTCTGTGTTTTGCATTTTTCATTATTTTAGTCAACTTGCAATGCCCTTGAGTGTACTTTATTACATGCAACCTTGCACATATCGCACGGGGCGATGCTTCTTCTTTAGTTATTATGGGCGGCAAATCCTCGTGCTGACCGCCTCTCGACGTTACATCCACTGTGGGACACATTTGTTATATTGGTTGAGGAGACATGATGAATGCTTGATTCGCCAATGCATTTCTAAGCAGGAGTGAAAATAGTGTGATGCCCGAACATCAGAAGGAGAGAGGGAGAGGAAGAGAGAGAGAGTTTAATATTTCCGAGGACGACGGCCTGCAGTGTATTATGGAACAGTCCGGTGGGAAAACACCTGATCTTTCAACTGATCTCAACTCCTCTCCTTTTTGTCCATTAAGCGAGTGGTGGGGGCCCTCGCTGCAATCTCCACTCCCATGATAACAAACGCCCTTGACTATAACTCCACACTGCTGGCTGCCAAGCAGAGACACACTTCCCTCATCTATCCCCCCGTGTGCCGAAGGTTGCCCTGCAGAAACTAAAGTAGTTCAGCGCAGTACTTATCACCCAACCACCATGAAACACGATGATGTATGGTTTATCACCACGATAATAGACCCTAATGAGAATAAAGCGCATGTTGTAGCAATTTGGACTGCATTGCCAAAAATACTAGGCTTATGATCCTTTCTGAGATTAAAACACACACACACGCGCGCGCGCACACACACTCACATGCACCCAGACAAAGATTACTTGAAAGTGGTCCCTGCCTTTTATTGAATGGCTAATCAGGCAAGTAATCAATTAAATGCATGATTGCTTTTGATTTTAATAGCTCTATCATTTAGAAGGAGGATCTGCTTTGGGCTATGCTGTTAACTGTTAGGAATAGCTGTAATTAGACACAGCCTATTCTCATTTAGCATGAGTCTGTAAGTAATTAGCATCTCATTCGCACAAATATCACCTAACCGCTGTATTCATAATATGTAGCGGGTGCATTGTCTGTAAGAAAATACTGCTGCAGGAATATGTAGACGCTGCCTAATGCTTCCGACAAACTCCGCTCTAAACACTTTTCTGAGGTCAGTGCATTTAATAAGCAGGTCTATAGCAGAGCTCCAGGTTCGATCTGTGCTTAGCTGGTTGTCGCTACATTGTTAAATAGTTAGGATAAATAGCTAGAATGCCTCTAGTTGTATTAGCTTATGTAGTTAGTATTGATTCTTGTTTCTACTCTGTAAAAACAGCAGCCCTGTGGTACAGTGTAGAGACTTTGAGCAAACTTTTATTAAATGCCTAATGTAATCTTTATTGATGTCATTGCTTTTGGCATAAAGATAGTAGCTCTGACAAATCCGAGAGAGACCTAGGGATTGTGCTACCGTGTAAATCTGGATGTGTTAGGTTAATAAGCTAACTGGTTCAGTTTCAGGTAGTATTGAGCGGGACCTGAAGTGGCTTTGTTCAGTTTGCAGTTTACTTTAGAATCTGCCTGCATTGTGTTTTTAGCAAATAGTCCTTTGTCGCTTTGCACTGAACTCCTGCTAGGGTCTGTGTTTGGGCTGGTGACAGCTGATCTTTGCACAGACTCCGAATGATTCAGTCCTAGACACTTTACACCTGCCTCACACTGTCCTGTGGGACACACTGGCTTCTTACCTGTTACTCAGTTGTAGGCTTCCAATAGGCTTCTAACATCAGTCATTGGTTTTCATTGGTTAATATGAATACTGTCTAATGGCTTTGCTTCTTTATTCATTATTCACTATTACTGTATATTAATTAGTTCTTTCTTTATTACCCCTATTAAAATTAGCATCTTGTCATCGATCTGTTCTTAGAATTTGACACTTTATAACTTGTTTAAATCTGAAACCAGAAGAGTTGTGGCACTTTGATTTTTTGAGTGAATGAGCTCATTCAGAATGTAATTCAAATCTGTAAGTGCTTATTATTGTTTTGTTTTTTCTAAAAATATAAATAATTACATATTTATATTTTGTAAAATATAACATTTAAAATACATTACAGCCTTAATAATATTAATTATTATTATTATTATTATTATTGTTATTATTATTATTATTATTATTATTATACTCTGTCCAACTTTGCATTGTAACTTTTGGAAGTAATTAATGGTAAGGTTACTCTGTCACTTGCGACCAAACCAAACAGACATTCATAATTATTAAATGAAAATTTGTTGTTGTTGTTGTTAAATTTGAATTTTGAAACCAATGAACATCAACAAACAAATAATACTCATTTAAGCCTTCATGGAAAGAATGTATTGCAACAGATTTGACTTAAACTTGTAGAGAAAGGACTGTTTTATTGTTATTGAATATGGTTGACAAATGCATTTCAACTCAGCTTGGCTTGAGAACTGTTTAAAATTTTCAAGTCCAAATGATCTTGATGTTGAGACCGAGACCAGACTTGAGAACTGCAACACTACAGTAATAATAACACACTCCTGTGGTATGACTACTTTTCATGTAATTGCTGATTCAAAAATATAGTCCGTGACACAAATTAAATGAAAGTCTATGAATTTTTGGGCCAGGTAGATCATTCCTTTTACATAATGAATAAGACAGCATTAAGAAACCACATGAATAACAAAGAAAAAGGGGATTAAATGGAAGAAATATCCAGATTTTTGGGCTGGATTAATTATTCTCAAAGCTCTTATTGCTTTTGTTGCATTGTTGTTTTGCCATCCAGTGTCTACCAGAAGGGGATGAGTTCCCCATTTGGGTTCCTCTCAAGATTTCATCCTCTTATTCTTAGGGAGTTTTTCGTTTCCATTGCCACGCTTGATTTGCTCATTAGGGGCTTGGTTTTGGATATTTATAAAGCTGCTTTGTGACAATGACCACTGTAAAAAGTGCTATACAGATAAATTTGAGTTGAATTTGAATGCAGGTTCGTAATACACCAGTTTGCTTCATCGCATCATTCTTTGGATGAGATCACATACTGGGGTCACCCAGTTGTCCTTTCAGTATAATAAAGGTACAGAACCTGAATTCAGTGTTATAGAATACATCTTGCTCCTGTTAATTCTCTGGTTCTTCTCCTCTCTAGACTGTTTTCCCTTTTGTGTTGAACAATCTAAAAAATACAGGTCCCTAAATGGATATACAGTAATTAAGCAATTATGTACACATAATAATATAATGTAAACAAAATGTATAGTGAAACAACTGTAATAACTCTAGATATCTAGGGGTTATAAGAAGCTTTAGCTTTAATTGATGGTGCTTTCACACCTCCCTAGTTTGGTGTGGATCTCTCGACATTTGCTTTAGTTCAGTCCGTTTTGAGAAATGTGAACACCCCTCCTGTGCTCAGGTCTGTGTTATGAACTAATTGTTCATAATAAAGTTATGTTTTAATGTAATGACTCTGATAGTGATATCTACACAGTACAACAGTGGCTTTTATCAAGAATATACATGAGGAATAGATCTGCATCTTATACTATGATAGGCTACATATTTGTAACATATTTCTGGTCAATCAAATAACACAAAGAAGATCCATGAGGATTTGGGACACTTCAGCCATTGCGGTGTGAACCCAACCGAACCAAATGAAAATCTACAAAGTGTGGTGGACCTTAGAGAAAGAACTAGGCATATAAACAGCCCGAGTGTTCCTCTTTTATGCATTTTTAATGACTTTTTTGGATTTTAGAGGCTCTCCAGTGTTAAAAGCAAGATGAAGTATAATAATGGGGTTCTTACTCTCTCTCTCTTTCTCTCTCTCTCTCGCTCTCTCGCCTGCAGCTGTTCTCAGGGTGACGTTGTGACGCACACGGCTTGGCTGAACAGGTCCAGTATACTGTACGCCGGCGAGGATAAGTGGTCTGTGGACCCCCGAGTGAGCCTGGTCACTCTAAACCGGGAAGAGTTCACCATTAAGATTGAGAACGTGGACATGAGCGACGAGGGGCTGTACGTGTGCGCCGTTCAGACCAGCAGCAAACCCAGAACCACGTCCGTCCACATCATCGTGCAAGGTCAGCTGGGGTTTGGCTACTGTGTCTTTGTCAACATGTGCACTGAACTCTTCTGTGCTGTTGAGTTGCTCTTCAGTTTCGTGTGTGTGTGTGTGTGTGTGTGTGTGTGGTATGTAGCGTATACTGTAACCTTTTGAAAAATGGTTTGTTAGCAGCTTTCTGCAATATCTGGTATGAACACCTTGAACTGCAGGTATGATATTGCATCTTTTAATGAAGTGGATAATTATGCAATTAATGATGATGGCGTAAAACCTTGGAGATTCCATTTTTTCACTGATCAGTGGCTCCTGTGTTAATTTGATTGATGGCAGTGTCACTTTAGAACGCAGGCGCGCTGAGTCGTGACAGCCCAGGATTCAGGTACAGTGGGTGGAAATTCAGAAAGCACAGACCAGCACAAACCACTTCACCATATGGTACAGCTATACCTTCATAATTATTCAGTATAGGATATGTCTATGTGCCCAGTAATGTAGTTGGTCTATTTTCTAATGGCCGATATCAAGTACTGATCTGTGATCTGTGAAGACGTGTGTTCTGTAGTGGTAAAGTATGTAAACATAAAACATCAGGAATGCACGGTGATATTGCTGTCATATCGGTATCGACCGATATTTGCTTAAAAGTTTTTTGGCATATCTACTTCCAGTTTCTGCATTTTTATAAATGTTTGTGTCTGCATTGGCAGATATATGTATCAGATATCTGCATCTGCCCACAAATTCCACAAATCAGCATCCTTATATACAATAGAGACTTATAAACCACAATTTTTAAAAATAAAAACAGTAATTGGTGTAGAATGTGGAGTTTTTCAAAACTTTAAAATGGCTCTTCACACTTATTTACAAAAGACAAGTGTATAGAAATATCCAGTGAAAGGTTTAGGGCACCAAATGAGGTTTAGAGGATCTTCTATTGCATTATTTCAAAGAACCTTTCTTGGAACCTTTATTTTTACAGCATTTATTATGCATATTTTCATACATATCATTGTAGAAGGTTACTAAAATTGCATATTATAATTTTATACTGACTGTGATTAAGTAACAGTATCAGAAGTGGATCAGCCACATCTGACATTGATATCTAGTCCATTTAAAAAGATTAGTATCAAAGTTGCCACTGATTTTGTATATTGAATTAGGGCATCACTATACACAATACAGTGTACAGTGTTGAGGTCTGCACTCCGCAGGACCCGCCACAGTATCTTGCAGCGCAGGACTAATTTGCAGTGTTGGTGCGGGAGCGGGCGGGAAACTAGCCCACTGTAGGTGGGAGCGGGACGAAGCATGCATGAAGAGAAATCCTGCAAATTAATGAATAAATCAAATATATAAACAAAATAAAGGGAAAACAGTGAAACTATTCAAATGAATGAAGTCATTTCAAAGAGTTGCAAAGCAACCGATCTTACAGAGACGGCAAAGCCTTCGGTCCGACAGCCACAGCTGCCCAGCAAAACACCAAAAATAACCATTAAGTTTTATTCCTGCTTTGTGTTTACTGGGAATAAATAGCATAAGGAGAAGTTACTTACAGTGAGCCTGATGACCGTGGCTGCTGTGTTATTTTAGCAGAAGGTAATGTACTTGTGAATAGACTCTGTCCAATCTATGTATTGGATGTCAAGAAAACAGTCCAGACCTCTAGTGTATCACCCGTTTACTTATTTAGCTGTGTTTCAGCCTTCTTTAAGCTAAAACACAATTATTTCAGTTGTTAATCGTTGCTAAGAATAATGTGTGTTTACATACAAACGCTTGCTTCTGTTGGTGGTTCGATGTGATTATTATCTGTGACATGATACTGGTGGGCTTTGATCCAAAATCAAGGGGCTGCAGTGTGAAGGCTAGATTAGCTCTTTCTTGCAGACCCCCCTAGTGTTCATAAATCAGACCAAGAGCAGATCAAACAGTGGAGCACATGACTGGATGAAAGATCTTTGTGGGGAGTCTTTTTCCTCTTCTTAACGTTCTAAGGCTGATGCAAAAAAGTGACTACTTCTCTTGGATCACTTTATCTACTCTTTTCACTTAATAACGTGATTTCTGAATACTGCTGTTTATTCGATAGGTAGAGAACATGATCTAACAAAGGCAAAATATTTTATTTGGTTTGCATCACATACTGCCTTTTTGAACATGCAAACAAATGAATTTGAAAAGCATGAGCTGCGCTTTATCATTACTGATGTAAAAAATCAGTAAAAACCGCTCTGCTGTTCTGAATTCTCTGAAAAAAACGTGGTGCATCCAACAAGAAAGAGAAACTCTTGCGGTTTTATACAATGATAGGAAACACAATATCACATACAAACCTCCAGCTCTACAAGCTGAAATTAATCTAATTATTTTGCCAGCGGGGACGTATACACAGCTTAACTCCTGTGGCAGCAGATGTAAAGGCCTCCTGCACTCAAAAATGTTTTTTTTTAAATGGCGAACTCCTCTTGAATGGCTTATTATGGCCAAAAAGACTCGAGGTCAAACGTATCAAACGTATTACCGTAGCACATAGTTCAGAATTTTCCATTGAAAATACAACCCTTCTCAGTACATCCGAGATTTTTGTGGCACTAGCAGCGATACAGAGCAGCTTAGTTCTCAACATCACAAATGAACCAGAACATATAAGTCTAATATTTTAAAATTTGCTAATTAGAGGATGTTCCAGGTGCCAAAGAGTGCCGCAAGAGACAGTATAAGGCCAGTGCCCAAGCTCCAAGTGCCAACAAAAGGTGCCCGAAGTAGCATTAACCCAAACTAGCAGCTGCTTCTCGTTAGCAAGAGAACCTAAGCTGAGAAGGGGAGAGAGAAGCTAGTGCCCCGTTGCTTAAAAGTTTGTGTTAGCTTAGTTAGAATGTCCAAACAGCTTCACACACAACCACACAGGTTAATTCCATCTCATTGAAGCCTCACTGATGCAGGTTTAGAGAGTAAAGAGAGCAGGTAAGCCTGCGTGTTTGTGTGTGGAGCTGTTAGCTTAAGCAACTTTTAATTTATATCCTTGTTAGCACAGAGGCTAGCTTTATCTTACACTGAAATAAAGGTTCTGTGCAGGTACGTTTTTCATTCATCAAGGTACAAACAATGTAAATGTTCCCTCAAAGGTACAAAAGTGGTTATAAAGTCCAAATGTGCACCTTAAATAGGTTTTTCCAGGTGAAAAGTACATATTTTTACCTTTTCATAAGCTGATGTTTTAAAACAGAACAATAAAATAAAAGCCTGGAGACGAGACGGGGTGTGTGGAGTCAATACAGCTTAGGAAATATAATTTCAATAGATTATGGTACAGTTATGTTCCCTGACTAAAGGTACTGAGATGTACCCTTGAGGGGACCACCCCAGTGACAAGAGGGGTCCAGTGATAATTTAGTACCTTTTTTCTGAGAGTGTAGCAAGAAGACTATAGACTTAAATCTAAGCAGATAAACCTGTGTGTTGTGTGTGTGGAGCTGTGAGGAAAAGCTACGTTTAATTCATATTCTTGTTAGCACAGAGGCTAGCTTTAGCTTAGCAAAGAGACTAAACCACCAGTAAATGATATTCTCTCACGAGTTTAGAAAATAAAGACCCAGATCTGAGTGAGTGAAATTGAGTTGGTTTGAATTGATGCTGATGTGACAGAAAGACAGAATCTTTCTGATTATCAAAGTTACAGTGGCAGCTTTGTTTCTGCTCTGTCTCATCTTCCAACCTAGAGACAACATGCAGGGTCGCAAGTGGTCATTTACAATTTGCATAATTGTGCATATTAATAGATCTTCACATTCTTAATGAGTGTTGAGGTTTAGGGACATGCCTACACCATTTTAGTAATTTCGTCTTGATAAACATAGATGATTTTTATAGACGGTTTTATTTATGACTAAAGGGGCACTTTAAACTATCGGCTGTCTTTTTTGGGCCCGGTACCAGGACTGTTGAGTTTGCATGGTTAAGGGAGATGCTTGCTGTCTTGAAATAGTTCCATAGAGCCGCGTGTGCGTGTTAAAATCACAACATAGTGGAAATGTATTCAGCAGAGATGGGCACAGCTTAATTGATTTCCATTATAACAACAGATGTGGGCTTGCTGAAGCTCAGGAGGCAAAGAGCGGTAATAATCCACTCATCCAGTGCACTTGGGGTAAAGACTTATTGGTGTAATTCTGTAAAAAGGCAAAACTCTTTTAACACTAAAGTTAATTTAAGGTCTTTGGGAGTAAGCATGCCAAACATGTTGTGCATTAGCACTGACATTCTGTTCCTATGGCACCATCAGTCCAAGCCCAGTCGTTTAGCCGACCCGAAGCGATCTGCCCTGTTACCTTGGCAACGTGGTGCCAGAATAGTAGCTTGATTGAGAGAGCTGGGGGATGCAGCAGGGAGGTCAGCTGCTGCAGAATGCCTGGACACAAACACGCCACAGCCAACCAGCCATCACAGCACTCCCTCCAACCCCCCCATCGCCCAAAAAAAGCACATACGTTGCGCTGAATGGAGTCATTTAGCTTCTGATTGACAGAGACGGGCCACAATAGCAGCTGGAGAGAGAGTGAGAGACACATAGGTATGTGAGACCTTTCAGTGTTTACAAAGTAAACAGCACATTTCAATAGAAATCCAATTTGCTCTCCGTATGCAAAGAGGCCCAAACGTGTGCTTCACATTTATGGTGACAAATGAGTTAGTAATGGCCCATATGAGCAGGAATTATGCAAACATGGAGGCTGTGTCTGTGAATGCCAGCTCACGGTAAAGAGCCAAAGCCAAGACTGCAACTTCAGGAAACATATTCACACACCAGGCTCGGGGCTTTCCATTGTTTATGTAGATCGTTTATGTTTTTCTCCTGAGGCAAATATTTACAGTAAGCGTTTCACTCCACATGGCTGGCATGCTGAATGCAGAGGCGCTCGAACGGAGCTTAGTTCATTAAGGCTTTAGGCAACATGAGAGTGAAGCTGTCAGCGGTAGTGTCCCCCCTTCATCCTCCTCCTCTTCGTC